AAGCCGTCTCCAGCCATTATTAGTCTCAAAGTGGGTTCCTCGTCATCGAATTAGTAGTTAGTTGTCGATATTTATTGTTTGTGACACCTGTGTTGGTATCACTCGTGCGTTTCTACAATTGCTTCCAATACAGTACAAAAAATTAAAATCCAATATTTTCATTTTTACACCTATGAAATATAATAATTCGTATTACTGTAGGAAGGTTTTCTGATTATCAACTAGAACAACAAAAAAAACGTCATCTTAACTTAGAACTGCGTAAATGAAATTGGAAATATCATTTCTGATGTTTTGTAATTAGGTTTAGTAACTTGGACCGAAACAGTCAGCTTGATAGGCTTAGGCTGCTAATGCTATTGTTATAATTTAATTACATTTTCAAATGCTTTCTCTGTAGTCCTTTCAAAGAAGAGTTTCAACTAACAATTCTGTTAAACTAAGCTTACCTTCGCTGTGACGTAAAGCATACCGTTTTCTTTTTGAATAGTAAGAAAGTCAGAAGCGGTCACAAATGTCACTCTATTAGTTTGAGCTGTTTTAGCGTTTTGACAGGTTTTATTTATTAATATTTGTGTGTTTTCGTACATTTTCGTGGATTTGTTTGAGTATAGCTTATATCCATAACATATTTTTTAAACATACAAATTGGTTAAAATGTTAACTACAAAAGCTATAACAATAAAAATATTATATTAGATATCCCAATCTAAATTTGTAAGTTTTATGGTCTATTTAAACCAATCAGCAAACTATAGAAATGTATACTAAGCTGAACGTTGTATATATAGCATTATTTATGCACATTGGGTGATTTCAATTGAATTATGTATGGAAAGTTGAACATAATTAAAATCCTTCGCGTTGATTATGCATCCCCGAGTGTCATTTAGTTTTTTGGTGAGTTTTTGCTAGTCTAGAAGTATTATGATTTGAAAGATAAGGAGACAAAACTGAAATTTACTATTGTTTAAGCAGCAAGAAGATAACAACGGGATTCACTCTCTTACACTTCCGTCGATTTCCGAGGACGACGAAGACGATGATAGTGACGGCACGACGCAGGCTTCACCATTGATGTCGCCAGTTGCATCTTCAACTAAAGGGGCTTGTCGCTTTGTAGTAATAGGGTAAGTTATTATCAGAAATAAAAAGGATATCTTTGTTGTATAAACGTTGTAAGTCATCTTAAATAAACGAGGCGCTAGCAAATCATAGACCTACAATGAATAACTTGAAAGGTCAAGGTGATTCAAAGTGCATAGCCCAGAACCTACAATGAATACCTTGAAAGGTCAAAATGATTGAAAGAGCATAGTCCACAACCTATAATGAATACCTTGAAAGGTTAAGGTCATGTAAAGTGCATAATCCATAACATACAATGAATACCTTGAAAGGTCAGGGGCGTGTGAAGTACATAGTCCATACACATATCAAACCTCATATCTAACATATATTTCCAGCTTCATATGAATGTTTGTTTGAATCTCCATTTTACTAGTGAGCTCTAGGTTCTACATTTATCCATGTCGCGTATTTCCTTTTATTCTGAATATGTAGAATATCATTTCTTTGACGTAAGCACTTGGCCAGCTGCTAGAAAAACGTTTCACTGAGTTTCATGTAACGTTAGATCTCTGTGTAAATATGTTTAAAAGTAAATCTAGATGCTTATCATAAACAAGTTTTTACAAATAAAAACGTGTTAGTTTAATAGATAAAAAAATAGTTTTATTAGCGAAACATATAAGAAAGTAATAAAAGTCTGAGTAGTGAGAGAAGAAGAAGAAGAAAGAGTAAACAAAGGCTTAATAATAACATAACATAATGTTCTGGGACAACATGAGACCTATTGGTCCATTTCGGCTGTTCCATCCTCTAAACTAAATTGAAATAATTAAAAAACATATATTAAAGCCAGTCCTTATCATTCATATACTTATCAAGCTTTTTCTGAAACTCACTTAAATTTACTGTCTCTACAACATCTGAAGGCATCTCATTCCAAAGGCCAACCACCCTGTTAAAAAAATGAAATTGTCTTAGCTGAAGATGACTACTACCTTACCAAAATGTACACTTGTATTCTCTAGTTCTACTATTCTCACTGTTAAATATGAAAAAATATGATGCATCAACAGTATCAATTACCTTTACAATCTTAAACACCTCAATCAGATCCTCCAACTCTTCTTTTTTCAAGCATGCCCTCTGGTGTTCCATATAATTCTCCAATATCTTGTGTTCTACACATTATTATATAGACATACATGTGGTATATGAAACATACTAGGCATTGTAATTTTTGGGTTTTCCTTCTGATGATATCTATTTATAGAACTGCCCGACTTTTTCATATAGGTGGCGCAGGGCGCACATTAGACACACGAATAAAAGACCTCCAAAACTTCTAATAATACATGAGTAAAAACAGCTTTAATATTTTCGTCAAAAGCGTCACTGTACTAAAAAATTAACCATAAATTAATAAAATAAGAATTATAGAAGCCTTAGTAATTAAATATAACGAACCTACTATTAACAAATACTCAGGCACCAGTGTATGTTTTTAATTACAATTTCCTCATATTTTTTTCAACCTAGCTAGACCCCTGATATACATACACAAACTATAATACTGCCCTTACAAGTGATTATATATTCTGAAGAACAACTAACTGTTTGTTGGTAGATTATTCTTTAAAATACAAAAATAAGTTAGGTTACGTTTTAGCCTAAGCTTCGTATACTTGACAATGATCTCATAAGCGATTAAAACATACATCTCGATACAGTTGCAAACTCATGAAACGAAAACACTACCTGAGACCTACAGATCTGCTGAACAGGTTCTACCATTGAGTTTATACCTCAGTATGTAGACAAGACAAATGACTATATGTTAATACAATAATTTGTGGGCTGAGGGTTTCTAGAGTACTCCAAGACTGTTGCTGATAAGAATATCCCAACCCTAGTTGATGTCACCCATAGCCAATAAAAGGAAACTAAAGGTGCCACTGATGGATGAAGTTATCCAGCTAGAGCACTTTACCAGGAGATATAAAAAGCATTAAATGGTGAAGTTTGTGGTATGTGGTACAGACAAGAGCTTTTCACCAGAAAAAAAAAACATATTTCTACAGTCATAATGGATCATACAAAAATGGAGAACGAATTTCCTATGATGACTGATTGCTCTGCATTCCAAAAACAGAGATCAAATATTTGTTTAAATGGAGAATCCCAGAGCACCAATTCAGTACTCTTGATTTTGTTAGTGCATCTGCTGTGGTTTGGAGCCAAATGATGCTTGTGATTCCTTGTTTTTACAGTCACAGGTCCTTGTTGATTAATCACTCTCTCCAATATTCAAAGATCCAGGGAAGACTTGAATTACTTCCTTTAATGTTTCAAACAGTTTATTGTTTGGAACGGTAGTGCAATTCATTATATTGAGTCTTAATGGACCAGGTAATTGAATAATTGGGTGAGGAAATCAAAACAATTCACAAATCCATATTATTTAATCTTAAAATGAAAAGAGTATATGTGGCTTGCCTGTGGCTACATTTTGATGCATAAGGTTCTCTCATCTGTTGCTGTAGTAATTGTTTTGAACACATAGTGTACATCACGATGATGTATCGCGAAATAGAGCAGAATAAAACTAGCTGTATACTAACCATGTTAGGTTAGGAAATATTGTTTTTGTTAGCAAGACGTGTGTTCAAAATCTTGTAGTTAGTGCTAGTACTATCTGGTAGAGTAGGAATAACATTTCTGTGGAGCAGACTACACAATAGATAAACCGATAAACAGGTTGTGCAGCTGATGTTATTAGATATAATGCCTAGAACATTTACAAATGGCAGCACTGTTTGCTTTCCAAACATTCGGATAAAATTGTGCAATGAACATTGGGAAAGTGTATATTTGAGAGACCTTCTGAGATTGTATGTGTATGTGTGTGTGTGTGTGTAAGAGCAAAATGTAAGTAACCTTTATACATGAGTTACTGGTATGTGACTGTACTGAATGTATATATGAGCGAAATCTTATAGGCATAAGATGTTTGTTCTAATGGATTTCTATAGTCAGAAGCTAGGTTCCCCTATGAGCATTGGCTTTGTTATTATAGCAACCAAACAACTGTGGAAACTAATATGCATGTGAGTTATAGCTGACTTAGCTGTGGTAGTTTAAGAATAGCTATATGCTTGGCAAGTATATAGCCTCATACTAAGCCTGCTAGACTGAAACATTAAAATAGGCTTTCAAGAAATTCTATACAGGCAATATAACGAGGGCACACACAACCTTATAAAAATGATACATAATGATGTAAAATTTGCTCTTAGAGTAGATATAGTTGTGATCAGGCTGTTACTACTTCTTGGAGCTGAACTTCTGATTAGCCAGAATTCAGGTTCATTTTCAATCCTGACTTTTGTATAAGAACATATTGAATATCCAGCTTGACTCACAATTTGAGGGTCGCGGGTTCAAATACCCGTCACCGAACATGCTTGCCTCTTTCAGCCATGGGATGTTATAATGTGACGGTCAATCTCATTCTTCGTTGGTAAAAGAGTAACTCAAACATTTGCTGTGTGTGGTATTGACCAGCTGTCTAAATTAGTGACGGCTAGTGCAGATAGCCCTCGTGTAGTTTTGCGTGAAATTTAAAACAAACCAGACCTGTTAAAATGAAATTAATGCCCAAGTGTCCCGAAATGTTACTATATTGATTTTTCTTGCTCCAGCAATCTCTCTCACTTAGCATGGAAGATAAAAGTTTCTGTTTGGCTGTCTTGATGACTTGTAAAGTACCGTAGTCTCCCAAAATTCCTGGAGGTTATCTTTATGTTTTCCATGGCTGAAAAGGAGACAATGGGTGAAGAGTTGTTGACAGCTGGCATGTCTAGCACATAAGCTCTTGTAGTAATCTCAAACATATTAGCTTTTCCAATGACATCATCGACCACCTCTCAAGAAACAAAGCCACTACATTATTCTCATTCAGAATTTCTACAGATTTTGGCCACTGAGAACTCTCTCTATTCAAATAAACTCTGTCTTAATCGTCAGTGCACGTATGTTCCTAATGACGCTGTTTAATATGCATTGTTTACCACTTTGTTTTACTCTGTACTCTTTCTTGAACCTAATCATTCAGAAATTCAGTGTTACTCCGTGACACATTTGCCTGTTATCTGCGGTTATTATTGTTAATTGTAAGGTAAATCAGTGTACTTGAGAATACCACATGCATTATATATATATATATATCTTTAGGTAATTAATTTGTTAAATCAAGGTAAGTTTGGCTCTAATGACTGAACAAAGCATTTCATTCGTAAACTGAATAAACACTTCGAGTAACTAAATAAGTATAATTTACTTCTAGTTCTTAAAACAATCATCTACTTATTTGATGATAAACGTTCAATTACTTGTCTTTAAACAGTTATCAAGCAGGTAAATGTATTAATATTTTTATCTCTACAATATATAAGGAAATATATCTGTATTGTATTGTAGGCTGTCATATATCGTATGAATGAACTATTAACTGAAATTATAATTTGTTATCACTAATTTAAACTGTAAACAATATAGACAGAATAGGAAAAAAATATTCACTAATAAAACTAATAACAACATTAAATATTTTAACATAGCCTTCTTAACTTGAAGAAAGATACCGTCTACGCTAAATATTTGTGTGACAAATTACAAAATTACAGACAAGTTAGAGTTTGTTCAGTTCATTTCTTTGTTTACACTACACTAATTGGAGTTTGTTCAATTCATTTCTTTGTTTACACTACACTAATTGGAGTTTGATCAATTAGTTTCGTTGTTTATATCGCACAGGTTGGAGTTTGATCAATTTTTTGTTGTTTACTTCGCATTGGTTGGAATTTGGTCAATTCGTTTTGTTGTTTACACCATCCATGTTGGAATTTAATCAATTCGTTTTATTGTTTACACTGCATAGGTTGGAGTTAGATCAAATTATTTTACTGTTTATATTTTACAGTTTGGAGTTTGATCAATTCATGTCTTTATTTATATCTTACTGGTTGGAGTGGGTCAGTTAACTTCGTTGTTTATATCGCATAGATTGGAGTTTCAAACAATTCGTTTATTGTACTTATTGTATATAAAAACTAATTTTCATATTTAGACTCAGGTTTTAAAGCTTTATTATTATGTATTTATATATTTGACATGTTTTGTAGATTATTGTTGTAATAGATTCTCTTATTTTAAATTAATATTTGTTAGTCTCAGATCTTCTATCTCACCTGATGATGTCAGGTAAATCTGGTGAAACGTTGCGACAAAATAAACAAAAGTTTTACTCTATATAACCGATAAAAACTTTGTCTGAAATGTAAAGAAACTGATTTTTTTCTAATATTCAATTCGTTTATTTGTTTCTTTGTGAAGTCAAGCTATAAAACAATCCAAGTTAGACGTACAGTAAATTACTTGTTTAGATACAGGGTACATTTAGATCCAAATAATAAAAATACACTATTTAACTGAATATCAGCAAATTTCATTCAAGGATGAAAACATTCATTATCATGATTTGCTAATATTTTTTTGTCTCCAAAGTAGCTCTAATTAGTTAAGCTTATTGAGTTTGAGATTGTAGATTTAATAAAGATAAGTTATAGCCACTTAAAGTACACAGAGTGCGAATGATAAATATTAGCATTCTATTATACTTTTCTCACTAACACAGTAAATTAAAATGATAAAATACTAGTATTACTTAACTATTTATGTTGAATAATACACTCTACTGTTTGAATTAAACTAACTCATAATGAACATATAGATACAGAGTTATTCATTTACATTCTATTTTATTTTTTATCTTCTAGAGATGAAAATTCTGATAAAAAACTGAAGATTAATGAGTCTTCAACTCCTCACGTTCGTCGACCAATCTTCACGCGCCCAGCTTGTAGGAATGAAAAGCTTGGAGCTGCAGCCACTCATCCAAACCTCGGTATAACATTAACTAGAACTTAAGATCAAACATTTGAAACACTTAAAAAAAAACTCTGAAAAGATAAAAAATTACCAATTAAAAGCAAGTAGTTTTCTGAAATCACTGACAACGTACATAAAACTAATCGTTTTGTAAAAGTTCAGGCTTAATTAACATAGGGCATGATAAGTGGTCAGCGTGCAGGGTTCTGCATCTCACGCTGTCTGAAGAGGACGCACGAATGTGTCGAAACTAGATTCTCTAATATCAGACTTGTGACAGTTTGTTCCGTTTGCTGTAGCAATATGTCTTAGACAAGTTCAGCTGTGGAGGTGTTTTGGGTGTGAAAGTAAGTTCGGTTACAAGGCTATGAGTTGCCACATATACTACGTGTGCTTCTGACTGGTTACTCTCTCTCTGGTCAGCGTGTTCTAAGCTAGGGGGGGTCTTTGATCTGGTCATTTAGTCAATAATATATATGTGCTTAGACTATAGAGAACTTTGGACAGACATTTGAGTCTAAGGTAGACTTAATAGGATAGTGCTAAGTCAGCTTTTTTCTACTCTACTATTTCTATCAAAGAGTCTTGAAATTCTTTAAAGGTATGTAGCAAGCGTTCTGTAAATAATATACCTATTGGTTTGTAGCAGGGACGGCTGTGTGTGGATAGTAGACCTTTGCACGAAATTACTAAACACATAAACAAGTGTTATAAGTGTTATTTTATAACAGGTTACTGCTGTTACAGTAAGGAAGAAATTTTTAAAACAGATACGACGTTTCGATCACTGGTAAGATCATTTCCTGGAACACAAGTTTTAACGATAAAGGAGGTTTAGTATTTAAATCAACATTCAAAAGTCTAACAATGTATTTAAATTTTAGAATTGATAGTGGTTACTTATGCGTGTGCATATCAATCCGTGTGAACTGACAGATTATTTAATTGTGGCTGAACAAATAGAGAATAAATATGAAAATGTGGAAATGTTGTGAGAATTTTTACATGAGATTCTGGGAAATAACGAACAAAAACATATAAAGATGTGCCTGTGTATTTGTTACTTGTGGGATTGTTTGATTTTATTATTAAGGTTTATTATTATTATTATTATTCTCTGGTTTTTCTTCTGTTAATGTCAGGTTCATGTTTTACTGCGGTGACATGCTTTTCAGAAAAGGTGTGTTTGTTTGTTTTTATGTTCATGGACTTTATGTTCTTTTAACCTGATGTTCAAAGTACTCCGTGTTTCACCTATGTAAAAAGCTGGGCAGTTGTTACCGTTTATTTTGTAAATGTCTCCTGGTGGGGGTGGGTTCGTCATTTCGCACAACATTTCCACATTTTCATATTTATTCATTTATTGTTTGTTTTTCCTGTTCAGCCATAAATAAATAATCTGTCAATTCAAACGGATTGATATGCACATGCACAAGTAACCATTATCAATGCTAAAATTTAAATGCATTGCTAGATTGTTGAACGTTGATTTAAAACCTTCTTTACCGTACCCCCCCCCCCCCCCAGTGGCACAGAGGTGTGTCTGCGGGCTTACAACGCTAGAATCTGGGTTTCGATACCCGTGGTGGGCAGAGCACAGATAGCCTTTTTGTGTAGCTTTGTTCTTAATTACAAACAAACAAACAAATTCTTTACCGTTAAAACTTGTGTTCCAGAGAATGATCGCACTAGTGATCGAAATGTCGTACCTGTTTTGGAAATTCCTTCCTTATTGTAAATACTGTGACATGTAATAAAATAAAACAAACAAATAGTGTGATTTTTTTCTTTTCAGTGACAAATAATAACGTATAAATCATACTGTTGATTACTTGTTAGCTGTGATAAAAGAGACTGGAAATAAATTAAAATTTGAAGTTTAATTATTTTCTTTGAATTTATAATCGACGTAAAAGGCTAGAATAAGAATTACTGATGGTAAAACAAAAAAATTAACTTTATCAAGTCGAATTCGTTTTTCAAGAATACTATTAAAATGATTAAATTTTCTATTAATATTAAATAAACTTCATCTTTTAATCTTGATTTTGATAAAGCGTAATTACTTACTTGGGATCTGCAGAAATGAATTAATAAATCCAATTTGTGTGTAATCTGAGAATATATCTAATTAATCATATATTATTACATATATAGTATCCCTTCTCCGAGATAATGAACGCTTATGAACATAATTGCTATTATCTTTCAATTTTAAAGACTAAAAGTATTAAAAAGAAAATCCTTCTAATCATTCACTGCTAAATTAGTGACGATTAACACAGATAGCCCTCGTGTAGCTTTGCGCGAAATTCAAAACAAACCAGACATGTTAAAATGAAATTAATGTAAAAACAAATATTTTTCTGAGAATTCACAATTTTGATTATTTTGGCTCGAGTTATACTTGATTTTCAAAAACGTTGAAGATGATTTGCATCCTTGATATTTGTAAATGTTCTGTAATACTTAAATTATGTTATGGCTTTACTTGCTAATTATAGTGGAGTCATTCCGAGTTTGATGTATGACTTATTACTCACATACTGATGAGACTGTTTCTGTCTGTTAATTGTTAAACCTATAATGGATCTCTCGTTATTTAAACTCAACATTAGGATTATATCCCATACAGACTGCTATCTAGTAAATGGGTTTTTACAAGTACAAATGCTTTACTACACTTATATCATGACGAGAACGACACACAGGGTCATGTGAGTTATTTTTAAACAATAGTTTACGCATAGAAAATATTTATTATAGATAATGTACCGATTTCTTCGTTTTGAGATATATAGGATGTTGTTAGATTTATTCTATTCTATATATATATCCTCAACCAATAATGAACATGTAAGCAGCCCAAGATCAATGGAACATATTAATCCCCAATATAAAAGCAAGTACTCCAATTTAATATATTGTTGAAACAGCCAGAAGTTTTAATTTCTTCAACCTATTATCACACAGTACCTTTTCATGACACTACTTCGAACTGCTTCAAAATGATACCTATTAATGATGGATTATTTGCGATAATTATAGAGATATATCTACATATAGATGTGTTATTTATAAAAAATAGATTAAAGAAAAATCTGCTTAACTGATCTTTTGGAACAACCATCTAAATTTATTTTACGTTTGATGCTTAATATAATGACACATAAATGACGGTATCTCTTAAATTCATTTTCATTCTCTCTAGGACGGTCTTTGGAATTGTTCGAGCTACGAGATGAAGTAGAAACAACCAGAAGCAGTGTTGAGAGGTTAGACAACCAGGTATCTGTACTGACACGCGACGTAACAACTTTGAGTCAAGAAGTAAGGACTACTATCTCTTTGTTACAACAACTGTGCTCTTTTGGCGGACTAAGGCCCCTATCATCTCAATCTTGTGATATACCTATAAATATGAACACCAGTGCCGCACCAGTTCGAAGTTTGAGTCAACCAATAGGATTAACATCAGTAGATGCTCAACAAACATCCAAAAGTTTGAGTAACAAGAAAACGTGTGGGACACAAACTGACCGGTACCTTCTTCACTGTTTCTTGGGAAAAATTGGTGATTATAGTTCACCGCCACCCAATTCCGGTTATTCATCTTGTTCTTCGAATGATGAACGAGTCCGTTTTATCGTTGGAAACGTGGCTACAAGAGGGAAGGATGACTGTGAAAGTGTATCAGATGATAGCGTTTTGAGAAACTCGTTCCTGCTAAGTAGCACCAATTCTCCACGAGAGCTTAACTCCTCTTATCGGTTGAACGTATCATGGAATACACCAGAGAGCGAGACACCCGATTCTTTGGCGTCTCCAAAATCGCCAGAACGTTCAACCACAAAAGAAGCCCAAAGTCTAACGAACGAAGAGGCAAATGAGGAGACAGTCTCGATAAGAAGACAGCTTTCCACCGAATGTTAGTAGTAGAACCAGAGACAGAGAGAGAAAAGTCCCTTGTTTATAAACACAATCTCATCAGAAAAAAAATGAAAGTGTGATTGTATAAGGTCTCTAAAACTCATATAAAGGTGACCAAACTTAACATGCTTCTTAAAATAAAGTTTAACGTTTTAAATCATTTCAACTTAAATGAGTAGGCAGAAGACAGTGGAACTGAAAGTTATCATTTATTCCTTGCAACACATGAATTGATTAGCTATAGATATCATAAAAAATCAGCACTGATAGAGGTTGTTAGCGCTTCCAGCCAACTTCAACTAGGGAATTTAATAAAGTAAAATAATTACACGTTACACCTTTTCTGATAAATCTAAATAAATATTTGTATGTACAATCATGACGCATGTTTAAGATATCCAGCTGGGACATGAAATGTCAGCTCTGTAGCTGGATATCATGAGGTGTAAAGAACTATTGGTTGTTTTTATGAATCTCAAAGGTTTCTTTGAGGACTTTTTTTTGTTAATTTATAATATATTGAAGATGTTGTATAACATGTTGTTAAACTAAACAAAGACGTATCTACAATATTCTAAAACAAAACTCTAAAAAGCTGAATAACCTTTTACGATGTGCTAGTTTATCTTCTATTGAGTAGCATTCTATGACCGTGATGAAGTCATAACAACGTAGAAAATAAAACTTTATATCTTACTTGGATTACAAATAATTTATTTTCATAATAATAATAATGTTTATGCCTGCATCACTTTGAATTCCAATAATCTGAATGCTTCTAGATGGTAGACTTTTCATCCATTTCAGGTGTCAGAGAATCTACCTGATCAAATTATTGGATTCTAGTACTTGTCATTCTATATTAATCCACATTGTGTGTAAGTTTGTTCATTTGTTTGTCCGCGAACTCTGCCTACAGTTTGGGAGAAGTAGGGCTAAAGTAGGAAGGCGGACTTGGAGTAGCCCAGGAGTGTTCTTATCTATGACCGTCTACAAATGGGGCACCAAAGGAGGCTAAAACGCCACGTTATGTTGGGGAGGGGCAAGGAGTAGGTTTGTAGAGTCGCTAAACTCGAATGTGACATCTATATTTATATTCTTGCCCCACCCTCCTCCGGAATCCGGGTTCCGTCATTTCGAAACTGTATTCATATCCCTACTCACCAACTAGCGGGACCAAACGTGACACAAGGATAGTGTCCTGACGTTTTTTCAGGTAAAGACTCCACTTGGGGTAGCTATAGAAGTAATTAGGAATAATGGAGGATCGGTAAATTTTTGGGCCTCTGTGAATCATGAGGGTGCCTTTGAACCCTGCAGCGGAGCGTGGGTGTTTTATGTTACCTTATTAAATTTAGTTATTATATATATATAATTAATACAGGTAATTCAAACCTGTAACATGGTAATTATAAATTTGTATTTGTTTTATGAATTAATTTGAATGTGCCGTAAAAATATATAAGAAGTAAATTCAAGAATATAAGTTAAACGACGTTATTAAAGATTAAAAAAGTTTTTACGAGACCCGACATGGCCTGGTGGTTAGGGTATTCGACTCGCAATCTGCGGTTCGAATCCCCGTCCGCGCCAAACATGCTCGCCCTTTCAGCAGTGTGGGCGTTATAATGTGGTGGTCAATCACACTATTCGTTAATAAAAGAGTAGCCTAAGAGTTGGCGACGGGTGGTGATGACTAGCTGCTTTCCCTCTAGTTTTGCACTGCCAAATTAGGGACGATTAACACAGATAGCCCTAGTGTAGCTTTGCTCGAATTTGAATTTAGTACCAAATCAAACCAAAGTTGTAGGTAAGAGTAAATTATTAACCCTTATAATTAAAACAGGGAAATCAGACTACGTCTGAGCTTAATGGTGTAGAGTAACATCAATATTTCTTTTTTAACAAACCTTTTGTCTCTTTTCTATCTTTTTTGCCAATGTATGATGCGTCTATGTGTGCTAATTATGGTGCGTCTATGTGGATAAGAGTTTTTTTACAGCAACTGTAACTATTGGCCAGATTTCGACCTTATCATATAAGGTAAGTAGTTGTGAAAAAAAAAGTAACTCTTTAGTGTATATAGATAAAACCTTTACAAATTTTTTTTTATATTTCTGTTCTTAATGAAGCACGCGATAATTACTTCAAATACCTATGAAAGTGTGACTCCCCTTTAGTGTATAGTTACAACATTTTCTCCCCCCTCCATACATATTAGTCTCTGCCGTTATTGAAACATGTATCATTTCTTCATTTGCAAGGTAAAGTATATCAAATCAGCCATTATGTATAATAAAAACTACGTAGCTAAAACTAAATTTTATGGTCTTATGTTTTAGTTTTAGCTTGTCCACGCTGAAGTGAATTGCGAATTATAACCTTTCAGGAAGAAAATGCGGGGTATTAAATTTGCAGTTTGCAGCCTAAATCTTCACAGCAGTATGGCCTGCCATTAGTGAAAGACTTATGCGATAGTATTAAATACTGGTTGTGATGTTATGTAAATAAAGAATTTGAAGCTTAAGAAAATAAATAGCTTGATAATTATTGAAAAATATCTTCATGTGATATTCGATGAATATCAGTTGGTTCTTTGATGAGAAGTTGTATAGTTATATTTTTGCGTTAATTAATTCTTTAAATATGTGTGATTTGCATATTTTGACTGTTAACCGTGGCACTTACCGTATCGTAGACATTAGTTTTAAGTGATTTTCATTGTTGTGGTGCTATAAAAACAGAGTTAAACACTGAGTTAAAAAATATAATACATTGAAATGATTAGTATAAAAATATGATATATTCAACTAAAATTACAAGTAATTACCAAGCCTATGAGTCTCATGTTCAAATACCGATAAAGTACATGCGATCGATCTAAAAAAGCAAATGACCTTTTCTTCTGAACTTCCTTCACTCCTGTGCCAAATTTCCTTACAGGTCGACAACCAGTTTTGGGGGTAAACTTGGAGTTATGCTTCGAGTTATCCTTGATTTGTAAATCTGAGTATTAATGTAAAAAGAATATTACTGTAGTGTCAGTTTGTTGTCGTTATGCCCATGTCTGCGGACTTACAACGCTAGAAACCATCTAGTAGCTGTGTAGCTTTGTGCATAACTACAAACAAACAAACAAATTGTTGTCGTTATACTTCATACTTTCGTTACTCAGTTGAAGCTGTTTCAAAGAGATCCTATATAGGATTTTAAATATTTCTTCATACAAGAAACTAGAGTGTAAGGATCTTTTCGGTAAGAATTTCGAAAGTTGTTTCTTGTAAAGAACCTACGTGTCAAGAGCTTCTTAGGAAAAAATGTAAAAATTATTTTGTGTAAGAAATCTGAAAGTGAAGAATTCTTTTATAAGAACTTCGAAGGTTGTGGAAGTAGGAAACCTGAATATAATGAATATTTTCTGTTAAGTTCGCCGAAGGTCGGTTCATGTAAATAAAGCTGATTGTAGAAAGTTTCGAAAATTGTTTTGATTAAAAATGTTCAATGCGAAGGACTTCTCAGTCATGAACTGAAATATAATGAGTGCGTTATTTTCATTACTTAAATAAACTTGCGTCAGAAATGGTTGAAGTAACTCACCATGATGAAAGTTTAGAGATTGTTTAACAATGTCAAAGGTTAGTAGTGTATATATATATATATATATATATATATATAGAATAAACATGTGATTTCCAGAGATTGTACAATATCTTGAGAAAGTTTCGAGAATGTTCTGTCAGAATATTCCTTTTGTATCATAAAAAGTATTTTTGTTTGCAAACTTTATCATCTATGAATTGAGTTTTCTTTTTAATCCTTCTCATGTCATCAGAGTTCTTTCTTGGACTAGCTCATGTTTATGGAGATGAATAAAGTAAACTCTTAAAACTCAAAGATGTCTGTATCTATCGTCACAGGAGAAAGGATCTCCTGAATTTGAACAGTCGCCTGGGGATTAACAAGGAAAATCCACTTACGATTTAAAGATAAATTTCAGCCGTCTAGTGATTATTTGGCAATTTCTTCAAGAACCAAACCGATGAAAGGAAAACAGTTTTATGAAATATGTAAACGATATTGTAAAAATAATATTGTATTTTTAACTCGTTGATATCAGTTATCGTTCAAATAATGTTCAAAATTCAAATTTCAAATTCAAATTTTCCCGTAAAGTATATTGTCCTCAGGGCTTACGTGCATACATACGTATATATAACAGAATACTAGATCAGATCTGTGTCGCTAATGACGGTCAATCCCACTATTCTTTGGTAAAAGAGTAACCTAAGAGCTGCTAAGTTAGTGACGGCTAGCGCAGATAGCCCTCGTGTAGCTTTGCGCGAAATTCATAACAAGCAAACAAACAAACTTAATCAATCCAGGGAAGTTTGTATGATATTAGGTTATTTAACTGTCTTAAGTAGTTTAAATCCTTCTAATAATCTAGCTAGTTCGGTGTAGCAATTCTGAGAAAATAAAACATCGTTAAGGAAATCTAACTAGGAAACTGTCACTGCAATATGTAGACAAACAGTGCTTTAAATGCAGTCGGATATACGAGGCCTACTTTCTTTATTTGTTTCACTCTTCAAGCAGTAATTACGAGCTGTGATTTCAACGAAACTATTCTACTGCAGCGGAAGTAGCAAATCAAGGAATAGATTAGGCCTCTGCATCATACTTTATTCACTAAATTCACGTTTTGGTGAGGAAGAGATCTTCACAAATAGAGTATAATACAGTAACTCTGATAAAAGTTGTATTATTATCAATATTTATAATTTCGTTCACAAACAATTTATACCTGCACTTAATAACACTTTTTAATTCATTCCCCGGTACTACATATCTGCTGACATTCATCACTGTTAGTAACTGTGAAAGGAATTCACTTAAAATGAGATTTGAGAGATAAATTTCTTTTCATTCAATTTATTCAAATGGATACCAGAAAAAATACAGTAACAAATAAGCAAAAGTTTGACAAGATTAACTAAAATTCTTTGTATTTTTTTTGTACAAGCATTAGTATTTTGGTTTACCACGCTTATTGTTTATAGAATGATAATAATTAATTTCAAGGAGAACTAGAACTTGAAAATGTGAAATGTTTCATTCAAAGTAAGTTAGTTATCATTCTATTAACTAATATTTTTGTTCAGAAGTTATTTGATTTTGACAGTCCTCCAGTATTAATGTGTTTGCACAATAATTTAATACTTGAATGTCAACCATTTAAATAATGACCAAAAATCTGAACAAACGTTTTCTGATTAAATGTAAAAAATATCATCAACTTAACTGTATTATTCAAGATACTGTTTTAAAACATTTTATCGTGTTCAGAATATTTGTACGCTTTTCAAGAGTGATTGAGATTGTAAATATTAAGAAGAAAAAAGTATTTTAATTGCTTTCAACTCTCTTAAAATACATTTTT